TGTGTGTGTGTGTGTGTGTGTGTGTGTGTGTGTGTGTGTGTGTGTGTACGCGCGTGTGCAAATGTGTGTATTTCTTAACCATGAAGACTGCCTTAACCATGATCTTGGTTTTATGTCACGCTACAGGTGACCCCACCACATTATTCTGTATCTATAAAATCTTCTTTACTGTCCTGTTTGTTATGATCTGTCTATCTTAATTAGTTTGTACAGTTTTGAATTATTTATTACACTCTCTCTCACACACACTCTCTATCTCACACACACACACACACGCACACACACACAAATCTATGGGGTGAATCATTTCATCCAAGATGCTTGTTTATTTGCAGATACATTCTATTTTGTTCAAAAAACACACAATTTGTAGTCACAGTCAGTCAGTGTGACATCTTATAAATTCCAGCATTTGGAATAAAACCAGCCTGATTCTAGGTTAAAACTCTGAGACAGATTCTGAACAAAGCTTCACACTTACAAATCAGTGTCTGACCTGAGATGTCACCTTTTGTGTATTCCATGGCTTTGCCTGATTGTCATGACAGTACAGCACTGGCATTGACTTCATAACCACTTTATACCCTGTCTAACACTCTTGGCCACCTGCAGAGACTTATTATCTGCCACTGTTCTCACACCAGTTGTATGATCTTTTAATCTCTCTGCCCTTGATCTCTCCGCCTTATAAACTCCATGTCTGCGTGCCCTGCTCTCTCACTGCACCTGACAAAGGGGCTATGCTCCGAAAGCTTGTGAGATTCCTGTTGAAATAAACCTGTTGGACTATAACTTGGTGTCGTGTGACTTCTCATGCAGTTGTCTCAATACAAAGGCACAGATTGAATCATTACATAACTCTTTTAGTTAAAGCTTATTTCTTTAATATCACTCACTTAGTGTAAGCCAGTGTTAGCAGTTAAAACATATACGTAAACTGTTGTAACAAGGTGTAGAGCTGGATGAACACAGCAGGCCAAGCAGCATCATAGGAGCAGGAAGGCTGACGTTTCGGGCCGAGACCCTTCATCAGAAAAAAACTACGTAAACTGTTGTGATTTTTTTCCACCTCTGTCTCTTTGCTCAATGTGGACACACAAACACACACACACCCCCCCAAAAATTTTCATATAGATTTGTAGTATTAATTCATTCATTAATTTTGTGAAAAGCAATCAAAAATCTTTTTAGGATTGTCACAATTATTGACCAATTATACATCTAAATTTCATTTTCCATTGTGCACAGCTGCAAATTAATTTTATATTAACATTACTAGCTTAATGGCAAAATGAGAAACATCCTAGATCTGCATGGAAGATGTTCAACTCATTGTGATGGCCTGGAGTTGGAGAAATGGAAAGTAGTTTGAACTGTGTCTTAGTTGCCTTTGATTTGCTAAAAAAAAGCCCTGAATGTACCTGCTGCACAATGATTTGTAGACCAGACATTTAAATGAACAGTTTTTACCAGGAATGCCAAAGTTAGTTTGGGCCTCAGCTTTTATGACCTTGTATTTTTCGAAAATTGTGCAGTATCACTAAGAGTGCTATGAAGGCGGATGTATGACTTTTTTTTATTATTCTGAGACGATCTGCAAGTATGGTAGATCACTGGTGTCATCATGTGGAAAGCTAGGGAATTGATTAGTCTTGTAATAACTGTGATGTAGCAGCATGTACAAGGTGATTCAGTTCTGCCATCTGGTTGATTTCCTCAAAGTTAAGAGAGCAATAGATGACTCTCACAGTTGACTGCATTTTCCTACATTGAACCTATTTCATGTCCCCATTAGAATGTATGTTCAACGCATGTTTCTGTTACTAATGAAGCCTGCATGTCAATACCAAATTTTCAAGGAGTTTTCATAATAACCTTTCCAAGAATTCAAGCACTCAAGCTCTGTTCAGGACAAATGACCAAACATTGGAATAGCAAGTCCCTGCATCAACTAGAGTAGTCACTGAAATTGCTAAAGATAATCTGAACCCTGGGTTTTTCTCCCTTAGTAAACCTGGGAAGTCACTACATAGTGCTGTCACATGTTCTAACAATGGTTGCTTGCTTGTCCTTCACTACTCTACCGTTCAGAAATAAATGGAAATAGAACCCTTAATAGAGGTAAGGGCCTGGTTGTGCAGGAACCTGGAATTCAGATCCAAGGATCAGTGCTTAAAAGACTCTACTGTGCTGGCTGCTTGGAAAGCTTGTACAAGATCATTTTTAATGCACTTCCTTTGGATTTAAAAATAGTTTATACAAACTTCCATCACTGCCTCTCACCAAACTGCCTATTATTATTCTGATGCTAGCTGATGTTATTACTGGACAAGTCAGACCCTAGACTGAAATCTGGCTTGATGGATCATATTCTTTCTTTTTTGGTTTCAACATAGTGATCTTTCACCGAAACACAAACGTACCATGCTACAATTTCAGGTTTAACAATAAAACATAAATTGAAGATGTAAAAGAAATGGAGATAAAATAGAATAAGTCAAACTATTTACACATAGCACAAATATACAGATTTCAAAAAATAAGGTAAAATACAATCCTATTAATCCCAAAAGTCTTTCTTTACAGTACTCGCACTGGAGAGTATTACCTTCCATTTCACACATATAAGGCTCAATTTAGCTGTGGTATCAATGCCCCAACTTGAGAATCTTATAACCTCTTTCTGGAGCCTTCATGCAACTGAACTTAGACTTTCTCAGATTCAATTTACCCTTTCATGGTTTTGATCAAACACTCCTGGCCTGGAACTTTTAAACTAAATTCCTTACACTGAGGTAACCGCTTCCTTAATAATCCTAACCTACCTCCGTTTCTCGAGAACAATTGTTACAAACAACCAAGACTTCTGCAAAATACCCCAACCTAAAACAAAAAAAACTTATTTCTTTCCCAAATCATAAGTGTTTTCCCTAGGCCAAAATAATTTCCAAAGTCTCCTATCTGAAAGCCTAATGCGTGATACCGTTTACTTTGTTTGCACATAAACTTTACCACGATAAAGAATTTCCAATTAGCCTGCCTAAACTGTTTATCTCAGACTGTTTAAATAAAAATATTAAATAACTATGGCAGCAGAAATACCTACAAGTTAATCATTAAACCCATTCAGACACATAGAAAATTCATGTACTACTAATAGAAAATTCAAAAACCCCAAATAAATGATTTTAAAATAAATAAAAAATCACACACATCCCATACATCCCATATCACTTTCTGGAAGAATGAAGTAGTATCGTGTACAGGCATTTCCATGAGTCATCAAAAATGATCTTGATGCTACTTCTATGTTACACTAATAGTAGTAGTATGTTGGCATTTAAACATACAGTGAGTTACACAGCAACCTTATTTTACATTAGTTCATGGACATCATATCACTCAGTATCCTTTGCATGTGCAGTCTATAAAACATCCACATAAGAGTTTCTTTTCCAGGCATATTAATTATTTTCCAATTATATAGTTGGAAAATTAAGCTCCATTCAAATAATCTTAAGTCTTGAAATCCCAAAATGTTTAAAACAAAATTGCAGGGTTGGGACCCATATAACAATTTCTTGCAAGTTGTTGGTGGTGTTAATCTCAAATCAAAGAATCATAAAGTTCAGAAGAGAGCCTTCAGTCCATCGAGACTGCATGAATACAAACTACTCTAAATCTACACTAGTCCCACTTCCCAGCACTTGGCCCATAGCCTGTTATGTTATGACACATCGAGTGCTCATCCAAGCATTTTTTAAAGGTGTGAAGTTTCACAACTTAACTACCCTCCCAGGCAGTACATTTCAGATTCCCAACACCCTTTGGGTGAAAAAATAAATCTCCTCCCTGACTTTTACCTTAAAATTATGACCCCTCATTTTTGACCCTTCAACCAACGGGAACAGCTGCTTTCTATCCACCAGTCTATTCCCCTCAAATCTATACCTCTCAATCAGGTCTCCCCTCAACCTTCTCCGCTCCAAAGAAAACAACCTGAGCTTATCCAGCTCCTTTTCATAGCTGAAATGCTCCATCCCCGGCAACATCCTGGTGAGTCTCCTCTGTACTCCTTCCAGTGCAATCACATCCCTTCTATAGTGTGGTGACCAGAACTGTATGCAGTACTCTAACTGTGGCCTAACCAAAGTTTTGCACAGCTCCAACTGCTCTCATAAACTATGCCTATACTGATAATGCAACTGTCCCATATGCCTTTTTAACTTCCCTATTAGCCTGTCCTGCCATCTTCAGGGATCTGTAGACAAGCTTCCTACTGTCCTGCCATTCATTGAGTACTCCCTTGTCTTATTATTTCCTATAAAGAGCATCACCTCACACTTGTCAGGGTTAAATTCCATCTGCCACTGATCTGGTCATCTGACCCATCCGTCTATATCCTCCTGTAACCTAAGACCTCCTTCCTCACTGTCAACCACCCTGCCAATCTTTGTGTTATTCACAAATTTACTGATCATTCCCTGGCTCCTCCAGGGGAGTTCTGTTCTCTATTGTTTATATATATCATGAAAAACAAAGGACCCAGAACTGATCCTTGTGGTACGCCATTGGGCACCGGCCTCGAGTTGCATGATGCAGAGCCATCACAAGACTCAGTGTCTCCTCTTCCATTGTAGCATTTTTTTTGCTGATATGTGGTCAGTTTCTTTGAAAAGTAATTGACGGGGCAACCAATCCCCATCTTGTCACTTTGCATTCAATTAGCTCCACAATGACATCAACAGCCTGATTTAATGGCCTTGCATAATTAGGTGCAGGTAGTACCATTTCACTTGCCAGAACAGCTTTCATCTTTTCAAAGGCATTTTGATACTTGTCTTATCAATAAGTCTGCTAAGGTTCAATAACAGTGCTGAAGTTCAGAATAAACTTGAGGTAGAATCCACTCATACCAACATAACTCAAAATCGCACGTTTTAAAATCCTACAAAACCCGTACTTTCACTTCTGTAGGGGCCAGTTAGCCTTGTCCCATAGTGTAGCTCAAATAGGACACCTTTACCTTGGCAAATTCACTGTTGACCTGTCTGAAATCCAAATTGGCTTTTTGTAGCTGGTCAAACAGTTCAGTAAAATCTTATTTTTGCCCGGTTTGACTAAAATCTATTTGTTTATCTATATTAGTTAGAAATGACTAAATCCTGTGGATTCATTCATGGCAAATTGTGACAAAATAATGTCCTTTACCCTATCATTAGGCTATTCCTGACAATAAGCTGTACCCTCAGGAGTTGTGAAAGCTCCTTTGTTGAAAGTATTTCAGGTTGAGATAGATAGATCTTGGTCTCTCAGGGAATCAAGAGTATGGGGAGCAGGCAAGAAATTGGAGTTGAAACCCATGATCAGCTTTGATTTTATTGAATGGTGGAGCAGACCTGAGGGGCCTATTACTGTTCCCCAATTTCTCATGTTTCAATTGTACTTTTATCTTCACAATTGGTGTATCTAGCTCCACTTTCTTTAGTTGTGGGACCACAGAAAAGTGTTTGGAATTGGTGCTACTCACTGGGATATGCAATATTGAAAAATTGGCATGTTTCTCAACATGCCTTATGTAAATGCAGAATTATTTTGACTATGTGGAAAGCAGCCAATGAGCTAATGTTCCAAGCAACTTTCATCAACAATTGCATTGCAAACCTGGTTACCATATTTTAAATTTTACCAGCCATCAGAGCAGATTAGTCCAATTTATTTCTTTTTCTTCCTGTTTTCTGTGGAGAAGCTCGGTGGAGATTTGAAACGCTTACAAGCAAAAACTGTGATACAAAGTTTGCCTGAGCAGACTTTGTGTATATACTCAAATGAGCATGGTGTATTATTTAAATTTTTGTCGCTAAGTAATATTTATGAGATTTTTATCTTTATTTCAAGTATCGGGTTAGTATTGTTGTATGGCTTTCATCATTAATACCAACTTCCATTAAACAATTTCAAGTAATGATTAATATTTGATGGCAATTCACCTAAATGCGTGGTGTTGAGAAATTGAATCTGTCAGAATTAATTTGTTATTTCCTTGGCCCTCATGAATGTTCCTTTGAGAGAATGGTCACTTAGGGGATACATGTCTCCTTTTTGTTTTCCAGAGACATGGTCAGTCATCTAGCATCTCCTTGCATCCTTTTGCAATGTTGACTGCTGCTTGTGCAGCAAAGCATGCTACAAAACAGGGTAAGTGGGAGTAGTCACTTGCCAAGCCCTTCCTAGTTAAATTGAAGTCTGTTTTATTACATAAGTAGCAACTCTACTTTTTCTTTAATCCTCTAAATTATACCAACTTAGGAAAACTTTGATTTGCTATTATTTATTTCAGAGTTTAGGCACCGATGGTGAGACCAGAATTTATTGTCCATTTCTAGTTCCTAAAGAAGTTAGTGGTGGGCCATCTGCATGATCAGAAAGCGATTTGAATCAATTAAGTAGCTTGCTAGCTCATTCAGAGGACAGTTAAGAGTTAAAAATGCTGATGAGGCACCATTTGAGTTGTGTACACAGCAGACATGATAAAGACATTAATGAGCAAGACAAGATTCTACAAAGTTTGATAAATTCCTGGTCATTTCAAGAGACATTCAAGAGAGCATTGAATAATTATTTGGATAAATGGATATGGGGGAAAGGATGCTGGAGATTTGCATTAGGTATTGACACTCATTTAATGAGCTGGCACAGGTACGATGGGCTGAATGGCATCCTTTGCAACTGTAAAACTTCTGTGAATCTGTGATTTTACTGATACTATCTTTTTAATGCCCTATTTCTAAAACTGTCAAATTCTGGAACTGCCAGAGGTAGTGTTTGAAGTTGTGTTATCTGGGCTATTAGTCCAGTAACATAAGCAGAATGCTACCATATCTCTACAATGCTGCTGCCTGTCACATCACTTCGATGATTTTACTGTGTTGTGGTTTTGCATTTACTACCAAGGTACAAAGTGCTGTTCATGATAAAATCCCAAAAAGCAATGCAAATCCAAAAAGAGAATTAAGTCAAGAGTTGTGGCAGCTTCTACTAAATTTGGTTTTGAAAATTTTACAGATGGGCCCAATCTGTCATTTTGACTTCCACTCAATAAGCAAAGTTTTATTTAACTTGTCCATGCTAGAAACATTTTCAAACAAGCCAGTCATGTTGTGCAGGGCAACTGGGGATAGGTAATAAATTACAAATGACTTATAAAAATGTTTAAAACCAGTAACTGGGAGGAGCACCAGCACAAATATCCAAACAATGCATTTCAGTGCAATTATTTCTTGTTATTTTTAGATGTTCACTTTTCTTTTCCTAAACAGATATCAAACCTAAAGTGGGAAAAACTGCATCAAAGCAGAAATTTAAGGATCCTTCGACAGCATTTCAATCAGCTGACCAGCCTCATGATGATTGTGGTGCTATGCAGCAGAATGCAGTATGTGCATTCAATACAAAGAACTTTAAAGAAGAGTTGCAATTTTGAGGGGAGTAGCATTAGCTACCAGAGCCAGGGATTCGATGTTTTCGATGGCTGGTTGAAGGTCAGTCTCATCAGCTATTGATAACTCACCTTTGCTGACATCCCTTTAACCCTTAGTTCACGTTTATGTATAAATTAAGCGGGTCTGGCAGTAGCTGTGGAGAGAGAAACAGAATTAACGTTTCAACTCTGGTATGACTCCATTTCAGAACCTTCCTGAGTTCTGAAGAAGAGCCATACTGGACTTGAAACATTAACCCATTTCTCTCTCCACAAATGCTTCAGACCTGCTGAGTTTTTCCAGCATTTTCTGTATTTGTTAGAATACAACAGGGTTGTGCATATGGGCAAAATGTTATTTAAATATTATTATAAAAATGATCATGGAATCCCGTATTCTCTCTGCAGGACTCAAGTGGCCAGTCTGAAGAAGAAAAGCTAGACGAAAACATCAGTATCTAACTTAAGTTTGGAAGAAGTGGATGATCAATTTGCACTCATGAATGAAAACAGCGTCATATTTGACAAAGGATTGAAACAGTCCCTGTGCTCAAGAATTTATCATTGCAACTAAAATTTGCAACACAAGTAGTTTTAATAATATGCAAGCTTTTTGTCGTCTATGTCTCATATGGCATAATACAATATATTTCTAAAATTGTTTGACTGAAAAATTGACTGAGTTTGCAACATCAAATATTGTGGAAAACTGAGCATCTGTAATTTCAAATTCTATTGTTAATTAAAAGTAGGATTGATGAGGAAGTGTGTTAATGTGAAATATAGAGATATGTAATCGACATGCAAAATGGTCGTGGGGTTATATGATGGATATGCAAGACGGAGAAATATAATGGGATTCACAAGATGGGGATTATGTAATGAGATTTATAAGAAGGTGTGTTGTATGGATATGCAAAGTCGGGACAGTGCAATGGGTAGTTAATATGTAAGAAAAACAGAAATTGCTGAAAACGTTCAGCGGATCTGGCAGCATCTGTGGAGAGAAATCAGAGTTAATGCTTTGGGTCAAGTAACCCTTCCTCAGAACTGACTGTCCTAAAAATGTTAACTTTTTTTTCTCTCCACAGGTGCTACCAGACCTGCTGAGCATTTACAGCATTTTCTGTTTGAATTTCGGATTTCCACTCTCTGTAGTACTTTGCTTTCCTTTTTCTTGCTTTAGTTTGGCTTCACATTGATCACTCTTACCTTCCACTCATGATATTTTGCAAGGGGGGAGTCCAGTCAGCAAGTTATCTTTCTGAGGAATATTTCTCATATGAATGAAAATATCTGCTGAAGATCAAAAATGAACAGGAGCTGAAGTTTGTTCAGGATGTTAATAATTTTGATGGTGTAAATTTGTAGTCCTTAATGGACTCAAGTGTAAGAACAAAATTAACTCTGAACCAATTAAATCTGTGTCATTGTCCTATAGTTTCTGTCGCTGTAGTTCTGATGCTTTACTTGTGTCAATTGTGTCAATTCTTGGGTCTATTCTTGTGGAAAGTTGGTTTTAAGATCAGCTATAATATAAATGAATTGGGATAGAGAATCAAGAGCTGAATGTCCATATGCCGAGGAGGCCAATATAAGACCTAAATTTTACATTTCAATGGGATAGAAAAGTGGCAGTGTTTTGATTATCCTCCAATGTTACTCTTTTCCAATCCTGAGAATTGCTGTCAACAGCTCAAAAGGCTACTGCAGTTCCAGGTTATTCAATGTCACAAAGGAAAAATTAGTGTAAAATGGGATAATTACAATAAAAATCATGGTCTAATTTTTAAAATAGCTGCCAACCACTCAAATATTCTTAACAGTTCATGAAATGGTTCTTTCCTTGGTATCATTTTAAAGTTGCCATCTTTTGTCCATGTAAACTCTGAATGCATAGGTAAGGTAAGAATCCAGAGTCCTGCAATGATCAATGGCAAGTGCCCAGGTCCAGCAAGATTTGACTTCATACTTCTTTATCATAGAAAGCCAACAGTGGGCAAAGAGGTCTTTGGCCCATTGAGTCTGCACTGACCCACTGAAGAGCATCCCACCCCAACTCAGCCGCCACTTCGTCCTCTAACCCCACATGTACCATGGTTAATCCACTTAACCTGCATAATTCCTGGACACTATTGGCAAATTAGTATGGCCAATTCACCTAACCTGCACATCTTTGAACTTTGGGAGGAAACTGGAGCACCCAGAGGGGACCCACACAAACTCAGAGAGTGTATAAGTTCCACAGTCACCCAAGGCTGGAATTGAACCTGGTTCCCTGGCATTGTGAGGCAGCAGTGCTAACCACAGTGCCAACCCACAATCTAGGACCTCGAGCTGCAATCAAACACCATGAACCTGATGTGTTGTTTTAATTACAGTTTGATTTGCGCAAAGTTAGTGGGCACAGGAGGCGAGATGAGAACTGAGAAGCATCCACCTTGTACGTTACACATTGTGAAATGTTTTTTAAAAGTGTGAAAAAGGCTTGCCAAGCATTTATTGCATAAGGGCACTGCCTCTTTGAAGCAAATTAAAGTATGATTGAATGCCTTCATTCAAAATAGACAGGACTAACTCCCAGTTGTCACACATTGGTGATTCAGAATTCCTTTTGTCCAAGAGATTAATGTACTGTTGTATGTAAGCCAAAACAAAAAAGCTTATTTTGACAGAATTGATAAAACAAAGCTGCACAAAATTGTGATACTGGATTTTCCATAATGATGAATCAGGAATTATTTTCTTGTTCTGAGAACAGACTGCACTGGTTGTACAAAAGAAAGGTTTTATACTAACAATGGACCAACATTACATTTCTTTTTGATGGAGTTGTATAAAAGGGCCCAGTGCGTTACTGCAAATGAAGTCTCGGAAACGGAAATTTTGAGATCCACGCAAATTAGACAGAATGGGAAAGGTAAAATTAATTTACATTAATTTAAATATTAATTTAAATTAATATCTTGAATGTGTGCAGTCTTAGCTAAAGCATACTTATTTTTGCAGGTTACCTTTTACGAGGACAGGAACTTCCAGGGTCGGCACTATGAATGCAGCAATGACTGTGCCGACCTGTCCCCTTACATCAGCCGCTGTAACTCCATCCGTGTTGACAGTGACTGCTGGGTGGTGTATGAGAGACCCAATTACATGGGATATCAGTATGTTTTGACCAAGGGAGAATACCCTGACTACCAGCGTTGGATGGGATTCAATGACAACATCAGGTCATGTCGCACTTACTCATATGTAAGTTTCAATTTCTTGAATAATTTTGTAACTTTCTCCATTTCTGAATTTTCACTCTTTTCTCTTGATCTGTTGGTATCTTACTATTTCAGATGTAGCGTGCCCTGTAATGTGGTTACAAAACACCGAAGGAATTGCATAGCTACCAGAACCGTTTAACCCCTAAGTCTGTTCTATCATACAATAAATTAATGTCTGGCCTGTAATCTAACTTCATATCCTTTGAACTAACATACTTAAATGTTGTTGTATGACAAAAATCTATCAGGCTCGGATTTAAAATTAACAATTGATCAATCAACTGCAGTTCGTGGAGGGGAGTTATAACCTCCTGCAGCACTTCATTCATAGAAATCTTAATGACTTCCATCCTTGAAACATCTGGTTCTAATTTTTGGCTTGTGTCCCCTAGCACCGGACTCCCTAATCAGCAGAAATAATTTCTCTGCATCTACCCTTACTAGCTAGGAAACATTGATTAACACTCCTTAACCCTTTTAATTGCAGGGAATAAAAATAAACTTATTTGTACAATCTTTCTTCAAAATTTAACCCTTGGAGTCCAGGTGTTATTTTGTAGATTTTGATAAACACTCCCACGAAGACCAGGATATGATTCCAAAGCTAATACTGCCCAGAACTGCTCATAATACCTCAGGCATGGCCCACCCAGAGCTTTGCATAGCTGAAGCATAACTTCTACCTGCATGTATTCTCATTGCATTTTGTGCCTGTTGATCACATTGTATTGATCTTTGTACTTGGACTTCCAAGTCTCTTTTAGCTTCCACTCTCACTAGCATTTTGCCACTCAGAAAGGACTCAATTTTATCCTTGTTTGGTCAAAAATTGAAAGCCTTAATTTTCTTGACAATGAAATCAATTTGCCACTGTTTAATTCATTAATATCTCTTTTTAATTTAATGTTGACTCTCTTGTCCTACCTGGAGCTGAAACGATTGCAGCACAAGTGAAAGGTCATTAATTGATCACTTAAGAGCCTCAGTTGGTGGTGATTTGGTAAGGTGAGGCTAGAACTTTCCCACCCAGAACTTAATTTAGGCATAGGATACTCTGGTCTGCTTACATCCCACCAATTAAAGTTCACTCCCCAACTCCAGGTCTGTCACTTCCAAAGAAGGAAGGCGTAGATTAAGAGAAACAGGAGAAGCATGAAGAAAATAAACATTTTGAATGTGATATTTTGAAAATCTCCTAGAATTTATTATCTTGAGCAATGAAATTGAACCAATTAAACTGATCTCTTGCTGGCCCAGTCTGTGCCCTGAGGCATTACATTAACAATTATCAGACATTGTTAAAAACGTATTGTTTTTGAGTTCCACTTCTCACATTATGCAGTGAGTTTAATGAAAAATTAGACAATTGAGTAGAATAAATCCATCAGTAACTTCTAAAGGCTCACAGCTAATGGCCTAGCTCTTAATCTCGAGAATATGCTGCCTGCTTTGTGCAATGAAAATGGAGTGTGCTATTAACATACTGTTATTTTGAAAAAAAGATTCAAAACGTTGTTTTCGGCAGGTTTTATCTCTGTCATATTTGCACATTGTTTAACTTATGTTAGTATTTTTGGCAGCAATTTGCATTGGTTTGATGATTTTCTCAATCCTGTAGTCCAGCGATGGTGCCTACAGAATGAAGATTTTCGAGAGGTCTGACTTTGCAGGACAGATGATGGAATTCACAGATGACTGTCCATCTGTCTATGATCGTTTCCGTTACCGTGACATCCACTCCTGCCATGTGATGGACGGTTACTGGATCTTCTATGAACATCCCAACTACAGAGGGCGACAGTACTTCATGAGACCCGGTGAATATAAAAAATTTGGTGACTGGGGAGCAACTTGCCCAACAATTGGATCTTTCCGCCGTGTAATGGATTTCTAAATATTTTAAAAAGCTCAATGCTGGTTCAGAAATAAACACAGCTTTGACTGCCACAACTATGAGTCTTCCATTCATCTTTATTAAGTAATGCAAATATTTCTCAATATTTTAAACTTTAAATTTTGTATTTAAACAGCATTCCATTTCTGCTACATTGAATCATGACCGGGTGGCAGTCTTGTTTATTACGATGTGGAGATGCCGGTGTTGGACTGAGATGGACAAAGTCGGAAGTTACACGCCACCAGGTTATAGTCCAACAGGTTTATTCAAAATCACAAGCCTTCGGAGTGCTGCTCCTTTGTCAGGTGAAGAGCTCTGCTATTTCACTTGATGAAGGAGTAGCGCTCCAAAAGCTTGTGATTTCAAATAAACCTGTTGGACTGTAGGTTATGTTTGGTTTGTTAAACCAGTATGGCATTAGACTGCCTCCAGACAGCTTGACAGCTCTGATACCTGTTTGAAATTCCAGTCAGCTCCTGAAAATTTGTCTGAGTAGGCCTTTAAAGGACTTTAACTGGCCTATCCCTGCCATTTGCCAATTCGGTTGATAGAATTGCAGCTTCAGTGCTGTATATAGGATGCTCCTCTGTCTTTAGATCGAAGATACATTTGGAATCGATGGATAGCCCTGAAATCAGGCTCTGGAATAATATTATGCACACAATTAAAGTAATGCTAGCAATGCATGAGCTTACTTATGATGCTTACTAGTTACAGCGATCATGGTGAGGGTTTCAGTGCCCAATAGCTGCAGCCCTCAGCAGGAGATCCAAGTTTTTGCAAGGCTAGCATCACTTGAAGATAGCTTGTACTAAATAAAACCAGCAGGAGAAGGTATCGGTGTCGGAGAATTTAGAGACCAGAAAAGCCCACCAGACCAAGCAGCATGGCCCAGGCTTCCTTGAAGCAGGCCCAGAGGCTTTGACGCAGAAAGAAGTGTACAGGAGGAGAGAAGACATTTTCTCACTGAGGGCCAGGAGACCCTGCTGAAATTTACTGAGAAAGGTTGTGAGTGCAGGCAGTCATTGCAGTCAATGACAGTAGGATAGCACCATGGACCTGAATGCAGTGTGGAAAGAGATTTAATAGCCTCACACGAGTTATAAAAAACATAAGGGGAAGTAAGAAAACAAAGAAAATGTCTGCTCAACTAGGAGACAACATCTGCAGCGCTGTTCTTTTTCCTTCCTCTTCTAAATTTTCATTCCATCTGGATGGCACTCTCTGACATTTTCATTGTAAACAGCCAGCTAATGAGAAGCATTGGTGATCTCAACTTCTCTGCATTCCTCACTCGCTCTTAATTATCTTCCCCTGAATCTGCAGCTCTTCATTATCTCAGGTCCAAATCTATCATTATTATCAATTCTGCACAGCCTTTTTCTACCTCAGTCCCAAGATTCACAAACAGGACCTGTTTGTCCTGGTAGACATATTGTTTCCAACTCTTCCTGCCAGATTACAGATTTCTTTCTTTTGCCAACTCCTTTTTGGCCCCTTATTAAGTCTCTCCTGATCTAGATGCATGACATTCTCCCACTTTAACAGTATCCCATTCCTTGGCCCTAACCATCTCTTTTTTATGACGAATGTGCAATTTGGAGCCCTAACCTAACCTAAACCTACACCATTCAGACAAACTGAGGGCTCCTTGCTTCTTTCTTGAATAGAAGCCCAGCTAGACTCCATTCCTCACCACCTTTCTCTGCCTGGTTAAACACATTTTCACATTAAAACTATCAGCCAGTTAGCCTATTACCTATCATTGGGAAAATGGTAGAATCCATTATTCAGAAGGTAGAAACAGAACATTTAGAAAGTCATGATACAATTGGGCAAAGTTAAATCAGTTGATGAAAAGCATATTGTGTTTGACAATTTCACTAGAATTGTTTGAGGATGCGGAAAGTTTGGACACATTGTCTGTGTATCCATTGGAGTTTAGCTGAATGACCAGTGATCATCCTGAAATGTACAAGATCTTGAGGGTCACTGCGAGGACATGTTTCTTGTTATGGTATAGGCTTGAACCAGGAGACACAGTTAAGGGATTTCAGGCTTAAAATGAACATAAGGAAGTTTTTAAGATGAAGATAAGGAAGAATGTAACGCAGTTTTCAATGAGAGGACAGAAGTGAATTATCAAGACCAAACCTTGCTTTTAATTAATTGTCATTAAACTAGTTATAGAGATAATCAAAAAAGCCTCATTGAGGCAGTTTTGGATTTTCAATTGGCAGGGGGAGGGAAGAGTGTCTGGAGTACAGCAGGGTTAACCTGGCATTCAGAGAGCAGGGAGCATCAGAGCTAATGGAGATCCTGAACAACTCATTTCAAAGATGGGCAACCAATGTTCAGCTGCTGAACCAGTGGCATAGAGTCACTTTGCTATTATGGGGAATTTCACTTTTCTGATTAATGAGGAGTTTTTGAGATGGACATTATGCTGTTGGCATCACTTATGCAGGATAGGTTGGATGAGGTACACAATCTACCACTGATGAATTCTCTCGTGTCATCGAGTCATCAGTTATACCCATGTAACCATCAAAGTGCAGGTGGCATCTACTCCTTGCATCAATGTACCATCAGCAATGCTGAGCGCCTGATATCAAAGTCTCACTCTCTCTGTGTATGTCAGCATGCTGCTTCTGCATTCACTCAGAGTGGTGCAACACAAAGTTCTCTAGGAGGATGGCCACTCTCAATGGAAGAGCTCATGCACTCAGACTTCCGAGCCATAATGAGGCACATATGCTACACAGGCTCTTCCATTGGCTGCCCATAGCTTCACAGTGCTTCAAGGAACTGCAAGAATCAGGATCTCATCGGCTTTTGATTCTCCACAAAGACACCTCTTGCCTGTGAAACCAATGAGCTAGTATTGATGCCTTGCAGAGCTTGGTCATGTCTGTTCTTCTCCGGTTGTCACACTCCACTCCGTTTGCTCACAGCCAGTAGGCTGCTCACCCTTTGCTCTCCATTCTGAACTAGATTTTGATGTGAGTATGCCTGTATCAGTGCTCAAGCAGAGGCAGGATGTGAAGGTGCATTGTGGATTGTCCCCTTACTGAAGCGGCTGGCGACACCTACACTGTTTGAGTCTGAGGATTGCCAATGTCAGCTCCAATAGGAAAAGCAAGAAGTGCACAATGTTGATAGAGCACAAACAACTTCGCAGTTGCAAAAGCATGACAGATAACAGTGGTTGATAAGTCAGAGGTGTTTTCTCCATGGAATAAACCATTTGACTCCTTGAACTTGTATCACCATTCAACATGATCATTGCTGATCCTGGACTTCAACTCCACTTGTCCTCTCACATCCAATACCCCTGATTTCCTGAGAGATCAAAATCTGTCTATTCCAGTCTCAAATATATTCACAGATGGATCATCTGCAGCCTCAGCCTTTTATAATATATTTTACTGACTTTGAAGAAGTAGCAGAGAGTAATGTACCCAAATGTGCTGCTGATGACAAAGACACTGGTGAGACTGTAATAGCAAAAGCAGATGCTGGAAATCTGTAAATAAAAGCAGAAAGTGCTGGAGAAACTCAGACTCTATTTGTATCTTCACAGATGCTGCCAGAACTGTTGAGTTTCTCTAACACCTTCTGCTTTTATAAGTTTTCCTGTCTCCACTTCTAGGGAACCTATGTTTAGCTCCTTGCTTCCTTTTGATACCATAACAATGAAACATCTCAAAATCTGTTTTCGTATTTCTAGCTAGTTTGCTCTCCTATTCAATTGTTCACTTAACAACCTTTTGGTGACCCTTTGCAAGTTTCTAAAATAAAAACTCTCAATTCACAGATTTTTCTTTGTAGCGTTATAAACTTCTTTTATTTTAATGTTATTCTTTGTTTTCTGAGTGAAGAACAGATGACTTTTTTTGCCAAGTCTTTGCTTTCAATTGAATATATTTTTTGTTGAGCACTTTGAATTGTATCTTGAAATGATTCCCACTGTTCATTTACTACCATTCCTTTCAGTCTATTTATTTTTCTCCAAATAACCTGAGTCAATTCTCCCATCATACCTTGGCACTTGTCTTTAAGGTTAAGATTTTTGTTTGCAAGTGGAATTTGTCATTTTCAAGCTTGGCTCGGAACCCAACAGTATCATGTTAACTTTTTTTTAGTGAATGTTTTACTTTGACATTACCTTGCTTCATTACAGACTATCAGATTTAAGATAACTGTATCCATAGTTGGTTTCACAATGTATTACTCCAGCAAACTTTTTGCAAAAGCATTCTGCAAACTTATCTTTCAGACCACTTTTGTTGGTTTGATTGTCTCAGCCAATATGATTGTCTTCATAATCTTATGAAGATTAAAGTCCCCTAGAAATATTGCCTTTTTTAGAGGCTCCAATGCTTTCTCATTTTCTGCTTTGCCCACCATCATGATATTGTGCCTATAAGCTACTCCCATTCGTGTTTTCTGACTCTTTCTATTATTGGTTTTCAACTAAGTTTCTTTGGATTCAATACTGATTTACATCATGATCTTCTGAGGCCAGTTTCTTTCTCATAAATCCTATAATGTCATCCTTCATATTCACACCTACCTATTTGTCATTCTTTCTGTCTTTCAGAAAGATTGTGGATACTGGAATAGTTATTTCCTAACTTTGATCACTTTGCAAACATGTCTATATAATGACACTTAAACAAAGCCTATTACTTCTATTTATGCCATTAACTCATCTTTCTTCTTGGAGATGCTTCGTGCAATCAGATAAAGAACCTTAGGATATTATTTTTCTTACTTCTATTTCCTTCAATGATTTTATTCACTGATGCACACTTAATGTTAAACATTGTCCATTTGTGTTCCATCCTGCTTTTAACTACACTGTTCTATCGCCATGGCAGTTCTTTATTGATTTATAAGTCTCCCTTCAATTGAAACTCATTACTCCCATAGCACACTTTGATCTATGTATTTAATTCTGTAATCTGCTTGACCCTATGCCAATTGGCCTGTGC